ACACACAGACAACCTCTCGTCAATATGCGTTTTTCGCATTCCATTGCTGCAAAAAACGCATAAAAATGAACAATTTCCGTTTAATGGTCGTTCTTTGAAAATGGCCTAGCTGTTCAGTGAGCAACTTCTCCGCCAAAATTCTAAATACACAGGAAGACGCATACTTGCAGCTTGAATCTGAAATCTTTAAGTTGCACTTGCACACGGAACATTCCCCTAAAATTTCCGCCTTTCAGCTTTTCTGATTCTCGAGTTAGTAATTTTCCCGCCAAAAATTTTACATGCCAGTATCTAAGTAACACACACACACACCTGGGGGCTAAATTTGAATCTTTAAATTGTACATGAACAGAGAACACCCCTTTAAAATCTCAGCTTTCCAGCTTTTCTGGTTATCGAGCTAGCAATTCCCTGGCCAAATATTTCACGTGCCCGTACTTGGAAACGACGAGCACCTAGGGGCTGAATTTGAAATCTTTATTCCACACATTTACAGAGAATATCCCTGTAAAGTTTCAGCACTCTATCTTATCTAGTTTCTGAGATCGCTTTCCCGTCAAAAAATTGCATATTTCTTTAAGATGTCCTTACATCGAATCCAGGCAAACGCTGTTGATGATACTAAAACGGGAGAATAGCACATAGTGTGGGCACATGTTCCAGAAGTTTGAGTCTTCTAGCTTTTCTCGCTCTCGAGTTGAAAGTGAGTGACAAAAAGTGAGAAAGCACAAACAGTTCTTCCAATATGCGTTTCTGCATTTGCATATGTGTGGAAATGCATAAAAATCATCAAATTTGGAGAGAAAAAATTATTTTGCAAGCGCCTTAATCAAAAAATTTATTTGCAGTTGAACGCCTTGGCACAACCAGCGTAGGCGAGAATATTTTGGTAATATCACTAACATGAGATACAAATGTTGATTTCTGGACGGTTTTGATATTTTTGCTTATATGCATCAAAGGTGTTTTACTTCTCAAGCGCTGTCTAAGAAGAAGTTGAAAACGACTCGAATTTCACACGCGGTAGCCGCTTGCCAATAGAAAAGTTTACGAGGTATGAATAAGAAGTGCCATTTCTAGTAAAAAAATAAAATTCGATAGGCAAGAGCTCATGCTTATGTTGTATCCCCAAATGATACGAGGAAACGAGAGAATATTTGGGTTACCTCCAAGCACAAATACACACACCCACAACTTCTCACCAGTATGTCTTTTTGTATTTTATCAATAATGCAAAAATGTAAAAATATGTGAAAAGTTTTCATGTGCAAAGTTTTGAAGAATCTGAGAAAACCGGGTTCATGGAGCTGGAAAATGTCCCTTGGATTTTGGTTTATAATAAATGCTGGTAAGAATAGAGCAAACATGAAACAGCTAAAGCTATGCGCATTAAGCTTTTTTTTTGACCGTTTTTCACTGTTTTGTCCAATAATGAAATTTTCGGCATTTCTATTAGCTCAGAAAGACTCGTTTTTTCCCTTTCCTTTCTAAATGATATTTTCAATTTTTTCATTACAATTATTCACTGTACAGGTTAAATTTTTCAATACCTTACTACATTTTACACATTTTTTAAACTCTCTTTTTTCCCTGTATCCACATCCCTCACTACTCTCCATCCATAAGAATTATTTGAAATTTTGCGTTTTTTGACTCAAAAATTTAATTTTTTTTATTATGCATAGACAATTCTGGCTTAGCTTGAAACAAAAATGACTGCTTTCTTTCATCGACCTTCAAACTTGTTTTTTGAAAGCAGCTGCAGTTGGATACAGGTACGAAGAATATCATGGTCTCCTGAGATATCGTTGTGACTATCCAGTGTTACTGATATTATTAGAATGTATCTAAACCTTGGGAGTAATCATGCGTTCCCAAGCTGCTCATCCCTTGGTGGCTGTATTCCCATCAATTCCTACCGGTATTCCCACTAATTAATTTTAGGCGTTAATTTTATCAGCTAAAAAAAGCTCCAGTAATCTCGCATGAGACTATTTTCACACGTGCCGTGATGGATTCCCAACGAGATTCAAAATCCGCGGTGAGAATATTTACGGATCCGGATCTTCCAAAGCGGTCGTTCCCAGGAAGCACTAAGAGATTTTGAGTCAACAGGTCAGCTCCCAATGGACAACTGCCGACGCCTTTCTTTGACTATACCCTTTGACCTTTGATGCGAAG